TTACACTACAAATGAATGCAACCTCAGGTGATTACAATACAAGTGCACAAAAATTGAACTATAAGATCGGGCTTTCAAAAAAAAAGAATTATAAAAATTGGATATACAACCCAGTTTAGGTGTTCAATAAATGGTTAATATGGATGCAGCTCTCTATATTTCCATCTAGGAAAGTGTCTTTCAAGTTTTCAACAACTCAAGAAGACAAGAAGGCTACCTAGCATGGTTATTAAAACCGAACCAGTCAGGGCACTGTTTTCCAGTTTGGCGGTTCAACCGTATGGGTCGAGCGGTTTGATCCGTAATGTCATAAATAAATAAAAAACAAAAAAATACTTATATATAATAAAAAATACCATAGAAATTTAAATAAAATACAGGAAAAAGAGCAACATATAAAAAAATAAAAATATCTAAATATAAAAATAATAAAATACAGAAAATACAAAAAAAATACAGAAAAATTCCAAAGAATATAGAAAAAAATATGTAAGCAAGAATATGTAATGAGCACTTGTTTTTTTTAGAAGAAAAAACCGTATCAGTTCAGAAAAAATTATCTGAACATATTTTGAGAAGAAAGCATAAATTTCATATTAAAACATATTTTGAGAAGAAAAAAAGAAAGAAATTTTAGAAACATATAGGATGAGACCCTATTTTTTTCATAGGAAACAAAGAATAAGAAGGATGGAAGAAGAATTTGTTGATTTGATAAAATTTAAGATATTCCTTGCTTACCAATTCAGGTTTTGAAGCCTCTGAGGGTATAAGACTACATATATCTTGTGTATTGAGTCAACAAGCTCGCCGTCCGCCGCTACAAGTCACTGTTGCAAGTGCTGGTGTCTGTGAATCTTTTCGCCGTCGAATGCTGCTGCAAGTGCTTGGGTGAGGGTGACTCTTTTTTGCTGCTGCAAGTTCACCGATCACAGTCGGTGTGTGTCACTATCAGATGCCGGAGTAGATGGCCACCGCAGGTAAGTGTGAGGGTTGAGACTTGAGAGGACTGAGGAGTGAGGAGGGAACTTGGGAAATAACCCTAAAGGCTAAACCGAATAAGGGATTGGGATTTGAAAATCAAGCTGGTTGGGATATAATTGGTATTTTATTTTTTGTTTTTTTATTTAAAATATTAAAAATAAAAATATTAACCTGCGAACCTCTAACCGGGTCGAACGGTTTAGTAGTTCGACCGCCCGCGTCAATGGTTTTTTTACTTTTAACATTTTTTCAAATTTCCAGTTTCTAGTAAAACCGGACCCGGGTGGCTGATCAGTTACCTGTTTTTCCGGTCCGGTCCGGTTTTGAAACCATGCTACCTAGTGCCTAGTGGGATTTGCCGCTTGAAGAGTGAAAATCCTTCTAGTTGTAAAGAAAAAAAATGCATTTAGGCTCAGTTTGAAAAGAGTACAAATGCAAATATGTACAACATAAATACATATAAAATAATACAAAATATAAGATTTTGCACTCTACTTATTTGGCATTTGTACTCCTTCCAAACTCAGCCTTAGGAAATTCTTTAAGAAAAAGTTGTGCTAGATGTATATTAGTTAGTTAAGTGGTTAGCTAACAAGGAATGCTAAGTTATGTTTGGTGAAAAATTCGTAGAGCCCAAACTGACTATCAATCAATCAATTGAAGGACCGCCCACTTCGGCCCCTTTGAATTTAGGGTAAAATATACAAACCTCTTCTGAATTTTCACTTTCATGAAAAATTCCCATGTAGTTTATCAAAAGCTTGCAGTTACCTCTCTTTTGGCTGAGTTTGGAAGCAGTATAAATGCAAATATGTACGGTGTAAATACATACAAAATAATACAAAATATAAGGTTTTGCACTCTATATATTTGCATTTGTACTCCTTCCAAACTCAGCCTTCATCTTTGTTTCATTAATGAAGATTTCCAACTTATTAGCGCATCTTTTAATATAATTCAAAATACCAAATTTGTTCTTCTAAACTTCCCTAGACCTAACGTTTTTATAAAGAAAAATTACTTTATTCTTTTACATCTAACTTTGAGATATTTTAATCAATAGTGAAAGAAATTGGGCATATTTAATAAATTTCCATCTAAGTCGATTGATATATAAAGGTAAAATGAGTACTTTTGAAAAACTAATGCATTGGGTCACCGTCTTCCATCCATAACAATAAGAAATAAGAAAAGAGAGGTAACTACAGGTTTTTCAATGCTAAAGGGGAGGTTTTTATGATTATCAAAATCTTCATGGGAGGTTTTTATATTTTACCCTTCAATTTATGTCAAAGCAATTGACTGAATTTTTAACTTAACCTGGCAAAATAGGCCCTAAAATTGCATTCACCCCAAAGGTCTTAACTCTTAAACAGGGCAAAAATCATTTACTTATTGCTTCAAGTAATAAGTTAGAAAACAAAACTAGGGAGGTATGGATTAAATTGGACTGATTTGGTTCAATCCGATCTAGTCAACTATAAGTCCATTACAAATGGATCAGGTCCAATTCAATTTGATTAATACTTTCATACTTTGGACTGGTTCAATTCAATGTCCATACCATCAGATCTATTCAAATCGGTTTTAATTTAGATTTATTCCAATCCAAACCTTATCCATCGGCACCTTCATTCTTATCTCCTATCAATAGATTGGGTATTGGCTCAATATGACTCAACCCAATGTAAATCGATTATGGATGGGATTTGACCCCAAATACTTTGGACCAAGTTCAATTCAATAAATACTTTGGACCCTTAAGTCTGGGCTGATCCAATTCAATATGTTATTTTGATCCGTCCAAATAGATATTTGATTTGAATGGGATTTGACCCCAAATGGGTCCATTATTAACACCCCTGTTTGCATGTGCTATTTGCACATCCCAGTCTTTACCAAGGGTGTAAATCGGTCGAATTTGAATTGGAAGATGCAATATCTGAATTCAAATTCAATTAGAAATTCCGATATCTTAATTCGAGTAAACATCTAATATATATTGAAAATCAATGTTCGAATTCAAATTCGATTATTTATTTTAAGTAATTAATAAATATATTATTTGTATAAAGTGTATTAATATATAAATTATTTTATGTAATTCAATTATTATATATAAAATGTTTAAATAGTTTATAATTATATATTACATGTAAGAAATAAATACTTGATCGAATTTAGATATCTAACAAATCAAATAAAATCATATCCAAATTCAATTCGATTATTTAAACGATATAAATAGGATATCCAAATTCAACCAATTATGATATTTGAATTATCCAAATTAGATTCGATTAGTTATTTCAAAGTCGAAATTGAATTTTTGAATACGATCTACACCCTATTCTTTACAAATAGGCACATCACCAACTTTAGCTAAAAAGGTTTCATGTTTTTTTTTTTCGAAACTGATGGTGCGCAATCCGGTCGGTCCTATYTGTCAACGACCTTGCCTCTGACTGGAGCAACAGGGGGGTCTGAAACGGATAAGAAAGTGGGGAATCTCCAGGGAGGAACCCGACGAGATCACTCCGAAGCTCAAGTTAGTATTCTCTCAAAAGCAAGATAAAACCAAATGGCGCAAAGTTCACATACCTTGTCCTCGGGGGGTAGAGAGCCTTTTATAACCACTTCGCGCATTCACTCCGAGGCTTTTGTCAGGTCGGGTATGATTACTCCCGTGCTTCTGCCAGTTCAGGTGTCATCACCTCTGCTGGGACAGAATCGCCACTGCTCCTTGTCGGAGCCGTCCTTTGTAACTGGAGATGGCGGTGGCAGGTGGCCGTTGGAATGCGGCTGTCAAGCGTCAAATCCCAAGTCAGTCAAGTGCGCCGCCCCTGGATACGGACTCCTTCGGTGTCAGGTACGGTTTGTTCAGTTCGATGTCCTGGGGCGAAGTGCTGGAGTGGTGTGCGAGGTGAAGTCTTGAGTTCGGACAGAGGTGTGGCCCGAACTGCCATTGGGCAGGCCAGTTCGGGTTGTTGCCCTTTGTGTTCATAAGGCTCGGGGCCCAAGGGAGAGCTCGGGCTCCGTACTGGGAGTTTGGGCTCCTTGTAGGGAGTTCGAACCGCTGGTTCCTCATTTCGGAGCTCGCGCCTTAGCGAGCTGTTGCCTTTGCCACGTGTTGAATGGTTACGAGGTCGGGCCAAATCTTCCTTCATAGAAACCATAAAAGGTTTAATGTTTTTTAAAAAGACAAAAATAGCCCATTACATTAACTTTAATCATTATAAATAATAAAATAATGGATGTGATATTTCACCCGAAACTTAAAAAAAATTACATGTTGTAAAGTTGAGATTAATAATGGAGTAATTCCAGCAAATAAAGAGGCGGAGAAAAATGTTAAAAGTAAAAATGATAATGTAGAATTCTTGGAATTCTGATACGTCCATTCACTCCAAATTCTTCCCCTTTGGAAGAATTTATCTCAGATATATAGTTAAAATAACAGATAAAATCTACAAATCAAATATTGCTATTTATCTCAGATATACCTGGTATCTTCCTAAACTACCCTCACACCACCGTTTAAACCATCTTCCAAAAATATATTGTTTCCATAAAAAAAGGAAAAAAAAAGAAAATCAACGAGAATTGTTAAGTGATAGTCATTTCAGTAATATACCAACTTAAATGATGTGTTTACTCTTTTAGTCATCACTGTCATCTCTTAAACACTGAAACTTTTGTAAGAGAAAATCTTAACATGATGACGTGGCAATTGGTGTCAATCTAATTAAGGACACGCGAAAACTTTTAATTATATCCATCTTAATCAGCTCCAGTCGGTCATCATTCTCGCTCCAAAATTACCCCTAACCTTCGGGAAATTGATTAAAAATTCAGACACCTGAAGGCTGAACTCTGAACTCTGAACTCTGAACTCTGAACTCTGAAGAAGCAAAAATTTCCAACTACTATTTTAATTCATGAAATAAAACCCTAAAGGGTTCGGGCAAGAACAAATCCATTGCCGTCAGCCCCTGAATCCAACGGTCCTGATCTCATCTTCGCTTGTGCTTATCAGCCCACTTTCAGCACGCTGTTTTCTTTTTCTTGCCTTCGTTTCTCGTACTGTTTGTTGCTGCTGTTAGCCATTTCTTTTGTTACCACTTACCTAGCTGCGATTTTTAGGGGTCGGAGGTAATGGCGGAAATCATCGCCGATCGTCGACATAGTCGACGTAAGAATCACAAAAGATGTTTCTTTTCTATCTGATCTCCTGTTCTTTGAGTAAATTTATACACTATAATAGAAGGATTTCTCCTTTGATGCCCTTTTACGTCTATATCACTTATTGATCGGGTTGTCAACTTTAGATTATAGGTTTTTGATCGAGAAATGAGCTCGTGAGAAGCTTTAATGGCTAAAGATCGGATTTTTTCAGCTTAAAGCGGACATTTTGGTTGCAGAAACGTATTTTTTTAGCTGACGTAAAGTTCAAGCTCAAGTTTTTACACACTGTTTTGGTTTCCTACTGGCTCTCTTCTTTGTGGCATGCTTACTGAGGTTCCGTAGAAGATGTTGTCGGAGATGGGAATGCGACCTATGCTCGGAAGCAACGAAGGATCGTATGGAGAGGAATTAGGGAAGGAGCTAGGGATGTTGCTTCGGGAGCAGCGGCGGCAAGAGGCGAACGATCGGGAGAGGGAGCTGAACCTCTATAGGAGTGGTTCAGCTCCCCCAACCGTTGAAGGTTCCTTGACTGCCTTTGGAGGTCTGTTTGGAAATGGCGGCGACGCCTCCCTTTCGGACTTCGCCGGTAGTAAGAGTGGCAATGGATTTTTGTCAGAGGAGGAACTCCGCGCTGATCCAGCCTATCTATCTTACTACTACTCTAACGTGAACCTTAACCCTCGACTTCCACCGCCGCTGCTATCGAAGGAAGACTGGAGGGTTGCGCAGCGGTTTCAGGGCGGGGGTTCCACGCTGGGAGGGATTGGTGATAGGAGAAAGGTGAATCGTGTTGATGATGGAGGGAGTCGATCGTTGTTCTCGCTGCAGCCTGGGTTTAATTCGCAGAAGGAAGAAAATGAGGTTGAATCAAGGAAATCACAGGCTTCAGCGGAATGGGGTGGGGATGGACTCATCGGATTGTCGGGGTTAGGACTTGGGAGCAGGCAGAAGAGTTTCGCAGATATTTTTCAGGTGATTTTTGTTAAAGGTTTTGTTAATCCATTCTCTTTCAAATCCTTACTTTTCAGAGAGTTTTTCCTGTTCTTTCCTTTGGTGGATAGGACATCTATATAGTAAAAATGGTTCTGTTTTCTTCATGGAGGTATTCAAGTTCATTTCACTTTCAGTTTTCATTTTAGGATGATCATAAATTGATATTAGCGATTCTTCTTGTTTCCTGCTAGGTTCTATTTCTAGCAGGCACTGATGATCCTATAATATGCGCTATCCATAACCCCATAGAATTAAAGTGCGTAGAATGATACAGTTATGCTGCATTTAGAAACCATGTGGAATAAAATCCAATTCATTAGTTTTTCCGTAGCATGTGCAAACACACATTCAATGTATAAATTGGTGTAGTCAAAGGGGTGTTGATAAAAATAAAAGTTAGGTCATATTAGGATCATTTAAGATTTCAAGAGGTTGGTCTGCCTGCTTTTGTTTTATTAATTTTGCATTTCGATAATGAAACCAGTTTTAGATGCTCAACTATGCCTTCACATGCTTTAGGAAACCTGAATGAAAGGATCTTATTCTGTGAGGCATCAAAATACCTTCTTGATCATCCTACAACTAAGAATTCATTTCTTGTCAATATGCTTGATATAAATGTTAAGACTCATTGACCTTTTTTATTTCTGATAGCTCTGCCTCTGGTCCTCTCTTTTTGCTTTCATGCTGATAAGCCTATCTGTAATGCTGATTCTCCTATCTGCCTTTTATTGGGTTCCTTTCTGAATTTGTATTCTCACCATGTTAGTCCTTGTTGTTTCATTTATTTTTGCAGTCCCTTTGTGGACCTTAAAGGCAAATTTTGTTTTCCCAGGTTCCAATACCTTCAGTCAGAACCTTAAGCGTAACTCTGAAAATTGCTTGTTTTTTCTTAATATGTCTAGGGGTGTTGGACTTCTTTTTCAATTTGTATTCTTACTTGCCACGTTTTCCCTTGATGTTCATTTTTGCTGTCTTATTTTGGACCTTTAAGGCACGTTTATCATTTTGTTCTCCCAGGTGGAAATACTTAATACCATAAAAAGTTACTTACTTTTCTTAATCTGTCTAGGGGCAGTAAATAAATGGGCATTTAGAAAATCTTGTGCAGTAATAAGGGCATTAACTGTGCACCGGAGTTAGGATACCTTCAATAGGTGACATTTTGAATTAACTAAAAAACTGAACATTATCTAATTTAGAACTTTTCAACAACAATATATGGGGGGAAGAATCATCATCATCATCTAAGCCTTGTCCCGACTATATGGGGTTGACTACATGAGTCTTGTTTTGTCATCCACTCTGTTCAGTGCAGACAAGGGGAAAATTTTTCTCAAAAGTAGGAGAGATGTTATATTAATCTTAATCTAGAAAGTGAATCGGGCTACTTTCCAAAAATGCCATGCTTATGTGGATAACCTGATTTTTTACTCTTCATTCTAGAAATTAAAGTTTATATTTTAACCTCTCTTCTGAAGTCAAAGCTTACTGAATGGATGGAACAGCAGAATGTTTTGTTGTTTTGCTTTATCTTCAAACTCTCTTTTGATGTGATTGAACCAATGCTCTTCTACATCTAAATCAAATTAGACTGCAGGCATGGTTCATGCATGTCTGCTTATTCAATCTCTCTTTTCAGCCATACAGATAAATACAATTGTAAAACCTATTTGTAGTTTTTCGTATCTTAGCCTTAGTTTATCATTTGCAGGATATCATATCTCTATCAGTTTTTCCAAGTTTGGTTTATAATTTGCTGCATTGATGCACAATTTGCTTTCCGAAGATGCCAACTTGCTAAGTTGGTATATTGTGGGGATTTGTAGCATAGACTTGGGTCCACACCCCATCTTCACCAAATATGAAGAAATGACCACTGGCCCAATTGCAAAACCTTGAAAAAGAAATTGTTTTGATGAATTGCTATTTTTATCATTAATCCAGTGGAGTAACAGCTTACTCCCAATGCAGGATGATTTGGGACGCACAACACCTGTCTCTGGTCTCCCTTCTCGTCCGGCTAGCCGCAATGCCTTTGATGATGGGGTTGAGACTTTAGGTTCTGCTGAATCCCAACTAGCCCATTTACATCATGAATTGACATCTGTAGATGCTCTACGATCTGTTCCAAATGCACAAGGCATTTCTGGGGTCCAGAATGTTGGTGCATCAGCGTCTCATACTTTTGCATCTGCATTGGGTGCCTCCTTGTCACGAAGCACAACTCCTGATCCTCAACTTGTTGCTAGGGCTCCTAGTCCTTGCCTTCCACCTGTTGGAGGGGGGAGAGTTGGTGCAGGAGATAAGAGAAGTATCAATGGCTCAAACTCATATAGTGGCGTCTCGTCTGGTATGAGTGAGTCTGCCGATTTGGTAGCTGCTTTATCAGGCATGAGCTTGTCAACAAATGGCGGACTTGATGAAGAAAACCATTTGCGGTCCCAGATTCAACAAGAAATCGATGATCAGCAGAATTTCCTTTTCAATCTGCAAGGTGGACAGAACCATATTAAGCAACATCCGTACATAAAGAAATCTGATTCTGGGCATTTACATATGTCTTCTGTTACTCAATCTGCAAAAGGATCATATTCTGATTTGGGTAAAAGCAATGGATCTAGGATGGACCTGAATGCCTCTTCTGTGATAGATGGGCAAGTTGAACTGCACAAACCTGCTGTCTCATCTGCTAATTCATATTTGAAAGGGCCATCCACACCCACTCTTACTGGGGCAGGAGGTTCTCCTCACTATCAGAATGTAGATAGCTCAAGCTCAGCATTTCCAAACTATGGTTTAGGTGGGTATTCTGTTAATGCAGCATTGCCTTCCTTGATGTCAAACCACCTTGGCACTGGTAATTTGCCTCCTTTGTTTGAAAATGTTGCTGCAGCATCTGCAATGGCAGCCTCTGGCTTGGATGCTAGAGCACTAGGGGGAGGTTTGCCTTCAGGTACAAATTTAACAGGGGCGGCCGAATTGCAGAATCTCAATAGAATGGGGAATCACACAGCAGGGAGCACTCTTCAGATGCCCCTTGTTGATCCCTTGTATCTTCAGTATTTGAGGACTGCAGGATATGCTGCAGCTCTCAATGACCCTTCTGTGGACAGGAACTACATGGGCAACTCATATGTGGATTTACTTGGACTCCAGAAAGCTTATCTTGGAGCATTGCTTTCACCTCAGAAATCACAGTATGGTGTCCCATTCCTTGGTAAATCTGGTGGTTTAAATCCTGGTTATTATGGAAACCCTGGATTTGGTCTTGGTATGTCATATCCCGGAAGCCCACTAGGAAGTCCACTTATTCCTAATTCTCCTGTGGGGCCTGGTAGTCCAATTAGGCACAATGAACGGAATTTACGCTTTCCTCCTGGACTGAGAAACTTAGCTGGGGGTGTCATGGGATCCTGGCATGCAGATGCTAGTGGTAATATGGACGAAGGCTTTGCATCCTCTCTGCTGGAAGAATTTAAAAGCAACAAAACCAAGTGTTTTGAACTTTCAGAAATTGCAGGTCATGTTGTTGAATTCAGGTATTCACTTTGCTCATAAATCCCCCCTCCTGCAAGTGCGTGCACGCAGAACTTTTATCTTAGTATCTGGGAATTGGATTATAGCTTTCAATATTTTCTATGAGCAGTGCTGATCAGTATGGGAGCCGGTTCATTCAACAGAAACTTGAAACGGCCACAATAGAGGAGAAGAATATGGTTTTTCAGGAAATTATTCCCCAAGCTCTTTCATTGATGACTGATGTATTTGGTAATTATGTGATCCAGAAGGTACTTTATCACTTCGTTAATATACCATCTACTTTTTCCTGATGACTGTATGATACATTATGCTATTTAGTGTTATAAACATGACTAATAAATCAAAGTTGTCTTCAGTTTTTTGAGCATGGAACTGCATCCCAGAGACGAGAACTGGCAAATCAACTCACTGGGCATGTCTTGACACTTAGTCTTCAAATGTATGGGTGCCGAGTGATTCAGAAGGTAAACTTAATTTTTGTGGCCTAGCTTGCTTCATTTTGAAAAGATTCTTTGATTGGTATTTTTGGAACAATATTCTACCTGTGGGAACATCTATTAATCTGTATCTGGGTGTCTACAACTATATGTTGTCCTCAGTAATGCCACCCTCTTCACCTCTATACTTTTTAGGTCTGGGAACTTTCATTTATGCCGGAGATATGGGCATGATCAAGGAGTAGCAACTATGGTCAATCTCATGGTTCACTAGTCTGACACAAATGTTAGCTAGTTATTTCATGCTCAGGTTGGGAATTAGTTGTGATCTAAGGCAATATAACCTAGTACTAGGCTATATTAGCATACATGCATACTCTAATGTATAAATCAAGAATTACAGACATCTGAGTTTGGTTTTCCTTCTGCTCGTTATCACTGTTTTGGCCTGAATTGCGCCTACATGCGGGTTGATGAAGGTATTTTAGTAGTTAAATTCCTCTGTGATGTTACATTCTGGTTTTTTAGTAGGGTAAGCCCTACTGAAGCTTCAGGGGGAGGATCTGAACTCCTAGATGATGAATCAATATGTATGGAAACTTTTGTTCTACTCAAACTACAAAACAAGGCTAGCATCTAGTAATACCGAGTCATTTGCATTTTATAGGTGTGTACTCTTTGTCTCATTAGGGGAAAGCAATTGGTTTTGCAAGTTTATCAACTGGGAGGTGTCAAAGTGCTGTTTTTTTATTGGTGAAAAGCCTTGCACTTTGATTTTTTGCATTGCTGCTGCATATATTGGTCTTGGATAGGATTTTTTTCTATATTTAACAACCTTTGTAACAAACTTCTGCTTAAATTCATATAATCATGTAAAATAAAATTACAGTTTCTGATTTCCAATGTCTTGGAGATGTTCTTCATTTTGTTTATTAAATATTCTATTCTGAATTGTACTGAGACTAACATGATATGGCCTTTCTGTTAAACATTTTTTAAACTCATTGGTTCAGGCAATAGAAGTTGTTGATTTGGACCAACAGACTAAGATGGTCGCAGAACTTGATGGTCATGTGATGCGTTGTGTACGTGACCAGAATGGGAACCATGTTATCCAGAAATGCATTGAATGCATTCCTCAAGATGCCATTCAGTTTATTGTTTCATCATTCTATGATCAAGTTGTGACACTGTCTACCCACCCATATGGTTGTCGTGTCATACAGGTTGAGAAATAACATCTTTCTCTTCAATTTCTTATTTCTTGTATTTAACTAAAGGATTTCAATCTTATTGAAGTAGTAAGTATTGATCATCAAACAACAGTTTTAAATGCTAAAATGCTTTGGCTTTATTACCACCAGAGGGTACTGGAGCACTGTGATGACCCCACAACCCAGCGTATCATGATGGATGAGATTCTGAATTCTGTTTGCATGTTAGCACAAGACCAGTATGGGAATTATGTTGTTCAGGTTTGTTTTCTTTGGCTAAGCTTTCCAATCTATTTCCTCTCTGTGTTCATATAAAGTTGCAATGATTACCAGTGATTTCATGTCCATGTTCCCTATTTTCTACTAAAATAATGAGCTTTCTTGTCCATGATCCCTATTTTCTACTAAAATAATGAGCTTTCTTGAAATGTTTATATTTCATTTTGGTTTTTAATTTGCCACATATACTTGACAGCATGTGCTGGAACATGGAAAGCCACATGAACGTTCTGCCATAATCAAGAAATTAGCTGGACAAATTGTTCAAATGAGCCAGCAGAAATTTGCCTCCAATGTTGTTGAGAAGTGTTTAACTTTTGGTGGTCCTACAGAACGCCAGATCTTGGTAAATGAGATGCTTGGTACAACTGACGAAAATGAGCCTTTGCAGGTTTGTCTACTTTCTATGGTTTCAATTGCTAGATCAAATATGCTTTGTACTACAAATTTTGTGCTATTAATTGCCATTTTCCTTTTCCTTTTCTTTTTCTTTTGTTTTTAATTATTATCAAGAACTTTAAATGTTTTGCCTGTCTGAGGTTGATTTTTTTATGGTTGTTGGGTTTAGGAAAGTTACGTCGTCATTATTTATTGTTTGTATTTTCTCTTAAACTGCAAAAGCAATTTTTTTTTTTTGGATTTGATGTGTAACTTAATTTATTTCATTTTGCAGATGCCTACAATTGATTCCATCATATCTATAAATTTTATTGGTTATTGCAAATAATTAATAGTTTTATTTTCTTAATTATATTACTAATGACTTTAATGTCAACACTAAAGATCCATCAATTAGCAAGAGAAAGATAAACCAGAGAAATGTCTCACAAGTATGGACTGCGATCATTTTAGCTTAGAAATATAACTAATTATTGACTGGAGAGTCTGTAAGAATATCTATGAACATGTTAATTTGATTGAAAGGGACGTTATTGATCAGCTCTTCGCAGTTTTCTGGTTTTATTTCTCTACTTGTCTTTTCAGATAGTAGCGCTATATCGTTTCTACATACTTGATGAAAATTTTACTCTGTTAACTATCTAGAATAACATTTTTGGTTAAGCTCTCCACTTTTCTCAATGATGTACTGCAACGTCATAGCTCTTGATGATATTCCATTTTCTCCTCTTTCAAAGAGAGTTAAGCTAGAGCTCAGCTCCATGATGTGGGTCTATTGTACGGAAGATAATCTTACCTTCTTTATGTTGAGATAATGCCTTGAGACGAACATAGTAACTTTGATACTGGTACAATATGATATGAAAGTAATTTTGTATCTTAGGTTTGAAGTTCAGTTCCTGCATCCCAAAGAAGTAACTATCTGACTGATGCTTTTATATTTCTTGTTTATTGGAAGATCTTATTGTTACACAGCCTTATCTCCACTTGTTTTTGTTTGTTCTGCCAGGCAATGATGAAGGATCAGTTTGCAAACTACGTTGTACAGAAAGTGCTGGAAACTTGTGATGACCAGCAACGTGAACTGATTCTTTCACGAATAAAAGTTCACTTGAATGCTCTGAAGAAGTACACTTACGGGAAGCATATAGTTGCACGTGTAGAAAAGCTTGTTGCTGCTGGCGGTACTATTTCCTTTCTCTTTTACCTTCTTGTTTGCGTTTTCTTTTTTTTTTTTTTTTTTCCTCTCTTTTCTGCCTTCATTCTTAAAAAAACATCCTCTATTAATGTTTTGTGAGCTCCTGGTGGAATAGTTTTGGTGGATCTTAATGGGTTCTTGCAGCCCAAAAATTATGGGGGACTGTATTACGCACTTCCATCTGGAGAATCACTTCAGGGCTTTGGTTAAAATGTGACAATGAACAGAAGCTACCTGTTCTGTGGAGTGCTTGCTGCTTCGGCATTACACATTCATTTATTCTTCCATAATAAATTAAGTTTTGTTATAGGAATCGAAAAATTTGACTATTAATACTATTAATCATCACCATTTAAAAGGAATTAAGTCATGAATCAATTGGTGAAATAACATTATTATGTCTCTGCATTTGTTGATGTATATCTTGGCCAAAATGTTGATCATTGATTGAAAAAGTTATGATTAATCAGCACATACAGCAACTGATGGATGTCAATCGAGAGTGCTGATGGGCGGTAGACAAGTGGGGTACTGTGAGCACTCTTGATGAGTCTGGTTTGTTTTATTTCTTCAGCTATTGAAGAATAAATGGTGACTGTCATTTTTATGCAAATAATATCAATTCTTGCCTCCTGTGTTGCATGTGCAATAAGATGACATGGGAGAGCTGTTGTGGCCTTGTGGAACATTGTGATTATGTTGTATTGTTAAATGATTCTTTCATATCTATAGATCTCTAACAAGGATCTATTACTTGCAGAGAGGAGAATCGGTATTCAGACTCCATACGCTGCTTAGATGGCATAGCGAGAAAGTAAAGTTGTTGTACAGCTAACTGAGGCTAGTATGAGCTCTCCCTCTTTCTTCTTGTCTAGCCATCGCTCATATCTATTGGATAGGAATTGAGCTGATTGAAATAAATTGTTGCTTGTACTGAAAAAAAACTGTACATTGTGTAGTTTCAAATATACCTAGAATCAGGCAAGCTCGAGGCTCAGATGAATACACCTGATGCCCCTGCGGAGGAGATAAATTGACTGTACAAGATTTTAAGGGTGTAAAAAGTAAAAGAACTGGAATAGTGAATATGTTAACGTGACTGTACAAATGTCACCTTGTGGAGAGCCTTTGGTCTTTAGGTGAGGCTGGGAATTTTCTTTTAATTTATGGGATTAATTATTTTTCCTTGAGCACAAATTTTCTGTTGTGGCTAAGTCCTATTTTCGAGGGCAGGTCTTGCATTTTAATTTTATATTCTCTTGTGCATTTGTATGATATTCTTTATGCTGCTCACAGTTTCACTCGTTTTGCTAAGTTACTATTGTTTTGATGCTATTTAACAAGTCATCAATTATAGTGCTTGTGCAGAATAAATTGTTACTGTTGCATTTCTTGTCTGATTGAACTACTAATGGAGGTGTGATAGTTACAAGTTGTTAGAACATGGAACTTTGAAGCACCTGTTCAGTATGCATTGTCTTGGTGGATCCCATTTCATCTCATTGAATTTTTCACCCGTCCAGATTTTGAACTATCGCCTTATAAGGTTGTTTGGCTGCTATCTCTGGAGTCTGGACCTTTGGGGGTGGTCCGGGTGGAGGGTGGTAAGACATTTTTTCTTGTAGGGGTTCTGAAGTTCTCATAATATTCAGTGTTAACACTGGCATGTGGGTGGGATAGGTTTCTATTGACCAGGTGTCTCCCATCTCTCCAGCACATCAACTTCCAGAAATCGCGTCTTCCAGGATGAACATAGAATTAAATAGGGAAATGGGTTTGCGAGTCCCGTCACCAGTGGTTTAAATCGCTAATGAATCTTACGGGTGAAAAAATGAGTTTTGGGACTTTGGGCTCAACGGAGTCCCAAAGTTCCTCTCTCTACCTCAACTGTATTCAGGGGAAAAATTTTGGCCCTAAATAGTTTGCCGGTGAGCAAAATGAGTTTAGCTTATTAAAATTAAAAAAAGTTGAAGCTCCTCTGGAATGGCCCCATTGAAAATGTGAAACTGCATATGGTTGCAGCCTTGGAGGGGATCGGGGTTGCCCACTAATACGAGGTGGCGTATATGGAAATTCCAGTTGGTCTGTTCTTTATGTGATGGGTATTCAGAATCTTACACTAGAATGACTAGATCCCTCCATGTGGAAGAATAGCGAAATGGGTGGTTTCCTCTCGACTCTGAAGATGCTCCCGTTTCGCTTTAGATATTTGGAAAAGGTGATGGTGACTGGTGAGAATCCAGTTCCAAAATTCAGGGACGACTGACTATGAAGTTCTCGACAACCGTATGGGGAGGACGGATGATTGTTCTGTGCTGCAACCCGCAATGTTTATTTAGCGAGGCTTTCTCTTCATCTGTGATTGATTTTTATAACCTGTCATGGATATCTTATAGGAGACTTGTCATGAGGTTTTCACCACTTGGATCAATGACGCCACCACGTTCCCAGAGTAAACGGTGAAGGCTTTCTGGTTGGTTTGCCCCTCGCCTCTCGACTCTCGCAGAAACACATTTTTATTGGGTTTGGGATCGAGTTCTTAGCTTCACTAGTCTGAAACCACAAACCAGTATAGTTAGATTTTGACCCCGAACCTCTGCTATTCTACTGGCCAATCAATGTTACTGTGCTGAGCCAATTGGTTTTTTGCCTCATCTCTTGACCTTTTACGGCAAGTTGAACCGATTGGCTTGGGCTACCATGGTGTGGCTGGGATGATCTCACCCATGGTTTGCCCCGCAGAAATGTACTTGAATAGAAAATTGGATAGGTGATGGATCCATTAAGGGCATGTTTGGAACCGATGCTATTTTTTCAAAAAAAAAAAAGGATGCTATGTTGGCACCATGTAAGAAATACGGTGTTGGGTTGGTTGGTTTTTTTTTTTTTTTTTTCTTTTTGGAAAAACATTTTCTCAAACCATTGTGGTCTGAGAAAACCCCCTTTGTTGACGTTCTTGTTTTTGTACCATTGCCAGCAATGGTTTGCTGATGTGGTGTTGGAAAATGCCTAGGTGGCAACAATGGGTTCGATTAAAAAATGCCATTTTCTCAAAAAACGGCAAACCAATGCAGCATCATTTTCTTAGAAATTGGTAGCAGAGAAACAGCATCAGTTCCAAACATGACCTAAGAAGCTTGACTTGGCCAAACATCAACGCTGCCATATGAGCTTAATGTATTTATCTATTTTTTTACTGGAAAAATCTTCTTGTGTGGTTGTAGAGACGAGATATTGATGTAACAGATGGTTGGTTAAAGGCCAGCCGATCATTCTACTCCAGGGTGTGGGTGTGCTGATGATCCATTCTGAGTTGGGACCAATGTCTGTTTAGCAGGCTGTGGAACCAATGATAACTGCCCAGCCAATTTGGGCTTCACTGGCATGGGACATTATCGTTGGTTCTACAGTCATTGGGTTCAACTAGACCAGGCAAAAATTTGACCCAACCCAACCCAAAAAAACAGGGTCAGGGTCTCATATTTAGCTACGTGAATGTGAGAATGACATGACCTGACCCGACCTGGAAAAAATTGGGTTGGGTCATGGGTCAACCTGCTGACTCAATTGTCGAGTCTAATTGGGACTATTTATGCATTGTTAGGAGTTTTCACTCTTTACTTTTTTTTTTTTCTATTTAGTCTTTATTCTTTATTGTTTACTCTTTAAATTGTTAAAATGTTCAAGTTTTTTTTGTTTTATATTTGGAATTTTAAGGTTAATTTCTTGAATTTTGGTATTTTGTCATGCATGTAGTTTTTCTTTATTTTTTAATCACAATTATTTTTTGGGATGACCCGATTTAGGGTTAGGGTCTAGCATTTGATAACCTAACCCAAAATTCAACCCGACCCCGAATCAACCCAAAGTGTTGACCCAACCCACCCAACCCAATTGCCAGGTCTAGGTTCAACTAATCCAATCTCCGATTAAGATGGTGGGTTTAGGCAAGTTTCGATCTAGGTTTTTGGATTGTGGATTTCTAGTAGGGCCTTTCCAAAATCTGGCTGGTGATCGAATTGGTGTTCTAGCAGGGGGATGCTAATCCTTGAGTAGGATTAGTTGTAGATATACAACTCTCAGCAGTTCACATGTATAAAAATATCCTTGACATGGACTCATGATGTAATTTTTATATATGGAAACATTTTCTGCTATTATACCACTCATCTTACGAAGAGACTTGTTTTAATTTATGCCCCTTTTAATTTTTGTTTTGCTGCCCATGGCACAAAAAAAAAAAAAAAAAAAAACATACAATTTTCTTTTGTTTTAAAAGAGGTAAAACTACAACTGAAAGTCTGTTAAAACTTAAGAGGGAACAGGAGGATTGTAGTGACTTACTGAGAAGAGCTTCTTGGGTAGAATCTAGGGGTGAGCCTTATTTGGTTAAAATGGAATTTTGATTTTTGGGTTAATTTGGTTTCAATTTTAGTCATTTGAACTTGTAGCTAGAATCCATGAGAGGTCGAGGTCGAGGTCGAGCTCAACCTCAACCTCCAGCCTCCTTTGCCAAGGTTTCTTAAATTTAACACTAAAGTTGATACTTTATAAGTTATTTAAACCCAAAAATAACGTTTGTGATTTGTTGTCTTTACACTCCAACAAAACTCTCCATTTCAATTATCAATTCCCAATTCCATCACCATACTCCAAACTCCAAAGAAACCGGGCTTTACATTTACATCTACAGGCCAGCAGGGTAATGCTAGAAGAACGAACGATCCCCCTGTCTCCACTCTCCAGCTTATCAACTTGATTGATTAGCTGCCTGTACCTGCACCGACATGGCCCCCCTCCCCTATCATGATTCGTCGATATTCAACCTAATGCTCCCGAGTCCCAACACGGACCAATGCAACCGTGCTTCGATAATATCTTGGAAAAGATGTTCTCGATAATGGCTTATTTTATTTTAACCGTGTTGGGAGCGTTAATTGGGAGCAGATCAGAGGTGAATTGCTATGTCAATGCAATAACTTAATATTATAGCCACAATTTTCATGTCCAGAATGCAATGTCACGCTTTCCAGATTTTCACCAAAAGTAACTTGTGCAGTTCATGCATGAGGCCCATAAGCCGTGTTTCCAAGGAACAACAATAACAATTTGTTCAACGCAATGGCTATTCATACATAAAATACATGACATCTGGACCTTTTATAATAGAGCCAAGACATACTATAAGGTCGGTCATCGCATCGGTGTGAGATGGAGGTTCCGATTCTGGTTCCCTAGCTTAGCTTGTTGAATAGTCATCGTGGTCGGCTATTCCCAATTAGTCCCTAAACGGGCATCGAACTCGTCTTTTGACGCATCTTAATTAGCACTCTATATGCTATCTTACCGATGTGAGCATGTGGTCCACTAAAGCTGCCCTCGTCACTCGTCACTCCCATTGTGTATGTAGTTTTGGTATGGTTTGGGTTTTTGGAAATTGGGATTAGGTAATTCTTTATTTAGAAAATTAACGTGCGTATTAAGTGTTGGAGGAAGTTTTATTTTAACACTTTTTCTATTGATTAAGTGTATATTTACTTTTCACTAATGTGGTGCTTAATTGTCAATAAATAATTTATTAAATAATTTTTTCTTAATTTTAAAAAATAAATTAAATATAAATTGAAGCTATACCAAAATACATACTTGATAGAGTTGAGACCTTCTACTAACAAAGCATGCTTCAATCCTCTATCAACTTAATATGTATTTAGTATAACTTACTTTTATTAAATAAAATGTTTATATTTGATTTAAATCATATATTAACAAATTGACGTCATTATGTGCCGCATCAGGAGAACAATGAATAAACACTCAAACCAGAGAATCGTTAGAATGAAGCTTCCATAATAATATATTTGGTACACACAAATCAATACCTATTTTGTGAATACCTATGTGTATGAATCAGCATGATGGGATATTTGACAATGACATCACGCCCTTTATCAAATAAAGGAAAGCCTTAATCTAATACACCACATATGATCATGATACTAATACCCGCTATAAAAATAGGATCCGCCCTGTATGACATATATGGTATAAGATGAGCTTGGTAGAAGTTTGGAACTTGTTTTGTTGGTCGGTTTGATAAGTCTCAAGAATTGGCTGTGGCTGAAAGCCTCGTTCTATTTCTTCAGTGATTGGTTTTATTTTAAAATATAAAAAAATAAAATAATATGAACATGTATTTATTATTAGGGGTATTTTGGTAAAATAGCTTTGTCCAATCTCACTTTTCATGTACTCYGGTCAGATTCACAAGAAATCTATATAAATATATTAAGCTGAAGTGTGTACGTAAGAAGGCATGATGATGAGGAAAATGGAATCTAATATTATTTTTTACCTTTTTTTCATAGAATCTATAAGAATGCCACTCTTTACCAATTCTTTCTTTTGTTTTTTTTTTTTTTTTTCAAATTATAAGAATACCACTCTTTTCTACCAATTCTCTCTCTCTCTCTCTCTTTTCTTTTAAATTAGAAGAATGCCACTCTCTCTCTTTCTCTCTCCTACCAACTCTCTCTCTTTCTTTTCCTTACAAATTACAAGAATGTCATTTCTCTCTCTCTCTCTCTCTCTCTCTCCTTATAAATTACAAGAATGCCACTTTCTCTCCAACTAAGGGAGACCTTAGCTTGGCATCTCGGCTACTAGGGGACCTGCAATCAAAGGTAGTCGAGTTCGAACTTTTGAGCTCAATCTCAAGTCTCTAATTTGAATCGAGCTCGAACTAGACGACACCTCGACCACTAAGGGAGACTTCAGCTCGGCACCTCGATCATTGAGGGAGGTCTCGGTTCAGCACCTCGACAACTGAGGGAGACCTTAGCTTGGCACCTTGTCAACTAAGGGAGACCTTATCTCGACACCTTACCTGATAGGGAAACTTCAGCTCCACACTTCAATAGCTGAGGGAGACCTCGATTTGGCACCTCGACAATTAAGGAAGATGTTGGTTGCTTGAGAGACCTGCAATAAAAGGTAGCTAAGTTTGAACTTTCAAATTTTTAACTTCAGCTTGAACTCGAGCTCGAACTTAAATTCAAGTCTCTAATTCGAATTAAGCTCAAATTTGATAATTTATGAACGAACCCCGTGCAACGTAGGGCCCTAACTCATACAGTCATAATTAAGAGTCCGCGTTCTGTGCACCCATGGGTGCACTCGACGCGTGAACCTGCCAATCACAAACGTCCACGTCAATATGTTTAAAATTTATTAACTTTAACGGACGTTTAAGCTGTTAGTTAAAGAATCCGGTTGAACCGAATACAAAAAGACAAAATACTTAAAACACATTACACTCGTTCTCTTCCTGGGTTCCTCTTCCTCCTCCTCTTCTTATTCTTTCATGTGTTTTGATATCGACGATGGGCCTGGGGATGAGTCTGATCTCAAGATCCAGACTCGAAACTGATATCTTGGAATGAAGACGATGACAGTCCCTGCAATTGGAATGAACGCGACCCCAAAACCAACCGGGTCTCTGAGCTTGTTCCTGATGGATTCTCTCTATCTGGGCGTATTGGCCGAGGAGTTCTCCAACTGCAATTCCTTCGCAAACTATCCCTCTCAAACAACAATTTCACCGGGACCATAAACCCAAGTCTTGCACGACTTGAGGGCCTGCGGGTCATTGATCTTAGTGATAACAGCATATCAGGACCAATACCAGATGATTTTTTTTTTTTTCCGGCAATGTGGTTCTTTAAGAGAAATATCCTTTGCGAGGAACAACTTGTCAGGACAGATCCCACAGAATTTGGGCTTGTGTTCAACCCTCGCCACTCTTCACTTCTCCTCCAATAAGCTATATATCTGGCCTTCGATCACTTGATCTTTTAGATAATCTACTAGAGGGCAACCGCTCATGCCTCTGTGGTTCTGCTGTCAACCGCTCATGCCTTGCCGTCCTTCCCAAATCAATTGTCCTTAACCCTAACTCATCTTCTGATTCCTCTGGCATGGGTTCATTCTCTCCTAATCTCTGTCACAAGAAGATCATCCTCAGCATCTCTTCCCTAATTGCAATTGGTGCTGCCATCGTGATTGTCTTTGGTGTGATTGCTGTGATTGAAGAAGAAGGAAGAGGAGGAGAACGCATCAACTTGATTTCGTGCCGCTGTCGGTGGCTTCTGTGTTCAGTGAGATCGCCGGTCGCAGGTGGATGCTTCTGGGCTGGGGGTTGGCGGAAGAAAGTATGGAGGATGAATAGTATAAGGTGCGTTTTTAAGTTTTTTTGTCTTTCCATATTTCGGGTCAACCGGATTCTTTTTAACTAACAGCTTAAACGTCTGTTAAAATTAGTAAAATTTAAATACGCCGACGTGGGCATTTGTAATTGGCGGGTTCACGCGTCCAGTGCACCCACGGGTGCACAGAACTTTTTAAGTTGTTATTAGAAAATGATAAAACAAAAAAAAACGTAAAGGGGGAAATTGGAAGTGCATGTGCATGTGCGCCAGACATGAGAGAACCGGACTTGTCCTCCAACAGTCGAACTGTATCATTTATGTACGGGCACTACAGTAGAGAGTCTGATCTGATGTGATGGCGGTGATGCCGTGGTAGAACTGCAGAATACAAGTGAAGAGAAAATGTTAACAAATAGAAGTTACAACTTACGACAGAGTAAAATTACCAAAAAAATCCGGCTATCGGGGTAAGACGTCCACGTGGGCAGTGGGGTTGGAATCAGCTTTGCACTTTTTTCTCTGCTTTCCCTCCATTCAGAAAAAGAGAAATGATTTGCTGCGAATCTTGCAAAATATCTTCTGTCTTCTTCTTCTTCTTCTTCTTCTTCTTCGCTCTTCTCTCTTCTCTCTTCCATTCCATGACATACCATAAAACATATAAAACATTAAAACATTAACATGAGACATGAGTCTGCCTCCCAAATCTTCTCTTTCATCTCCAAAAACAAACACACCTCCATTTTCATTTTCTTCTCGTCAATATATACGTATATATACTCTTTTATTTTTTAGATTAAAATGTAAAGTTTTTCCTTCTCCCATGAATCCTGCTGGTTTCTATAAACCCTAATTTCTTCTCTCCTTCCCGGCTCTATAGTTTTGGTTGATCCAAAGTTCGTCCATATCATTTCTTTATTTGTTTCGAAGCCCCAATTCTGCTTTCTGATTACTGCAAAAAAATCAACCAAAGGAATGGGAGACGAAGTTCATACGAACGAATACGAAAACGGTATTGACGGTGGAGACGGGGAACGAGTGCTCGAATGGGAAGCTGGCTTGCCCAGCGCAGATGATCTTACGCCCTTGTCTCAGCCTTTGATCCCACCGGAGATTGCTTCCGCCTTCAGTATAACCCCCGTGCCTTGTCCAAGCATGCTCGATGTGAATCATGCGTCGCAAAACACGATATCTATCCTCTATCGGCAGTCGTCCCTGTCTTTCTCTTCCTACCACCTCAAGTCGTTGCCTTCTTTCATCGAGGACAGTACCCGTGATGCCATGGTTGTTGAAGGGGAAGAAAATGATGCCGGTTGTTCTACCAAGGACGGTTCCGGTTCCCGTAAGGTAAGGAGGCTTGAGAACGCTGAAGAGGCGGATTCGACCTTGCCGACGGAGAATTCCATGGAAGATCCGTCTGCCCGGACCTTGAAGAGGCCCCGGTTGGTTTGGACTCCTCAGCTTCACAAGCGATTTGTCGATGTCGTGGCGCATCTGGGTATCAAGAACGCTGTGCCCAAGACGATCATGCAATTGATGAACGTAGAGGGTCTCACGCGGGAGAACGTCGCCAGCCACCTCCAGAAGTATCGCCTCTATCTGAAGAGGATGCAGGGGTTGTCCAACGAAGGCCCATCCACATCCGACCATCTTTTTGCATCGACGCCTGTGCCCCAGAGCTTGCACGAGCCGCCTGGCCACGGGCACATGCCACTTCCCATTCCTTATCCAGCATCCCTGATGCCTACGCCGGTCCTTGGCATGGCCCATGGTCACGACCATATGGGGGTTCCAGTCGGAAATCCGGGTGCTACAACCTATCACGGTTTCGAGTCGCATCCCTATAACATGTTCAGGGAGCAGCAGCGAGATTGGTCTGGTAATAAGTTCGGTTCTGTTGTATCATATCCTCATGTCACTCCTAATGATAAATAAAATTCTCAGATTTTCATTCACACCAGAGAGGTGAATCTCTCAGTCTTCTTCATCTTTTATTATTCTTATTTTTTATTTCTACCATTCCTTGTAATTCTACATTTTCAGATGACAATACCGAATTGATGGTGGATGGAATGAGCCAAAAGCTATGGTTTTCTTTTACGATATTACTATTTTGGTAGCCCCCTGTTTTAGAAATTTCTGCTTGTTTCTTACATGTTCAATTCTATATATTTTTCCTTCTTCAATAAATTGATAAATTGAGAAATGCAGTTTTTATCTATAATTTTAAACTAAATGAATAGTTGCAAGATGTCCTAAATTAGTCCTCTACCTTGAAACAAGCACCAGGGTAAGTGGTCTACGAGTACACGACCTGACAAAGATTTGTTTTCTTTAAATGCTTTACTTGTGTGTTTTCAGTTCCTTGGGCAGTTACTGCAGATTTTGCTAATAAAGAACCTTCACCTTCCTCTTTGAATTTGTTATATGTTTCGTTCCTTTTATGATCATAATGTTTAGCTCATTGCTTCACTTTTTTCCTTGCTAATTAAGAAAACGTAATGGACGGTGAAGAGAAACATCTGGCATTGGGAGAAAGGAGTTCCTAACACTGAATTAGGAATTAACAATTTTCATTGCTGTATATCCAGAAGGTTCTATTTTTGAGTCACATATGAGGATTTTTCATAACACAAACATGACCACCTGAACTTCTTTAGGAGTTAACTACCACCTGGGAGATGTGAATTTCACAATATTTAGTAAGTAATACAATTTTTCAATTTGGTTAACAGCAATTATGTAGTGAGTACCAGAATTGAAATGCCATTTGCAAGTAATGTATAGTGTTTATCTCTAAACATCATATATATCATAGTTGCAAACTCAAATGGAGCCTTTTTATGTGAAGAATTTCACACTCATGGTGCAAGTACAATGGAAGTGCATTAAAATTTTGTTAATGTGTACTATTGAATGAAAGGGGAGTTATCCCTATATGCAAACAAGAATACTGCCTAGCCTTGTACTAAAAATCAAGGGTTAGCAAATAGAAGATCTAAATTCTGCCATGAATATAGCATCTCAATGTGCACAGGTGAAAGGGTATTCCATTAATCTGCTTAAGAAAAGACAACATACTACAGAACATCTGCTTTCTTTAATTAGTAGAAGTTGCAAAAGCTTTACAGTTGCCTTCTTTTCTGCACTCAACAATGAAAGCAATAATCTCTAAAGAAACCTCACAAACTTACTGAAAACCAAGATGTCCAGATGAGAACAATGACAAGATACAGTTATGGGAAATAAGGATACAACTATATTTCCTAATATCACAGACATGGAATGGATACAAGTATAACATTTAATATGTTTATATCATGCTTCTATATCTAATTTTTGAATCTAAGTGTCATTTCTCATTATTTCTATCTTGCCAAATTTAATTGAGCTTCTAACATATACAGATGCTTTATAATATCATCATCATCTAAGCCTTGTCCCAAACATATGGGGTCGACTGCATGAATCCTGTTTCACCAATCTGCTCTGTTCAGATGCTTTATGACATGATGATTTGTTAAAACACACCATTTTACATCTTTTAAAAGTATTGATGCTATAAAGTACATTCTAGAAGTGTCACTGCTGTATCCAATATTGTATCAGGTACATATCTTTAAAAAAAAAAAAACAATTGACAAATGCTATTGCCCGTACAAAACAGGTATAGTTCTGTTTGGAATGAAGAAACCTTGGAAATTTTGATGAGATGGTACAGAGTTTACACTAACTGCACTTTCTGTAATGAGGAAGTGGAATCTGTTGATCATTTATTTTTGAATTGTTCTTTTGCTAAAGGCTTGTACAGGGGTTAGACTGCGTACATCTGTCCCTCCCTAGACCCCGCATTGTTGGGAGCCTCATGGACTGGGCTGCCCTTTTGCTAGAAGGCTGTGCTCTAAAGTGTTGGACATTTTTAGACTCCACATTTGTTTTCTGTAATCTGTGGTGGATTTCTTAACTAGTTGGAAGCTGTAGGATCTGAGCAAAAAAGGAAAAGTAGTTTGGAAAGTGATACCTTTGGCAACTTTTTAGACTGTGTGGAAAGAAATGCCAGAATCTCTGAAGATTTGGAAAAAAAAAAAGAAGGGAAATTTATAAAGGAATTGTGGGGTAGAATTCATTCTTGGGTTGCAGTGAACAGAGTTTTCACAGATATACCATACAACTCTTTTTTGAATGCTGTTTTGTTATTTTGTAATTCTTAAGCAATACTTTCTGTACAGGTGAAGCTAGTAAAGTAGTAAGTGCACAGCTACTTGCTTGTCTTCTATGAAGTGATTTTTATCTTTTCCTTTTTCTGTGGGTTTGGTATAATTTTTTAAGATATTTTTCAGGGTTTGATGCTGGAAGGTGTCTTTTACTTGTTACAAGTGAAGGAGGTGCTCGATGTTATAATGAGAATGATGGCAATGAAGTGCTTGAAGGTATGGTTCATAGAGCTTCTTGTTTTTTTTACCTATTTTTAGGTGACAAATTAATTCAAAAACTTGTGAATCTGTAGATGAAAGAGGGCTTAAATTGATTAAGGCCATAGTGCTCCCTTTTTTTTCTTGGTGCATACAGACTCTGAGATTCATTCTTACTTTACAGGTAATATTTGGAGTCCAATATGGATGTGTTATTTGCATGTGAACTATAAAATGAGGCGCTTTTTGTAATATTGCAGATGGATCAAATACAAAATTGAAAAATGCCAGTGATATCCTCTGTTTCTGCCCCTATTGTATATGTTTTTCTTATCAACCCCATCCACTGTACAGGACTAATCAGTTTATTCTCAAGAATCATCTTCAGGATGTTGTAAGAGCCATGTTATGATTGGGATACTTCATGTTATTTTCAAGAACCATCTCTCCCTTATCTATCCAAAAAAAAAAATCTCTCATCCCCTAGACACAAGAAACCCTTTCAATTATAGACTGGGATGGCAATGGTACCAAACAGGTTTCTCCTCTAAACGTTGAAACTTGCACCACCAGGATATTTGTTCAAGTAACCACAACTGTTTAGGGTATTTGTTCTTTCATGATACCTCTGATTTTCTTTCATTTTGTTTTGCCCCAATATTTTCATTCTTCACTCCAGCCAATGAAGTCATCACAAGGACTCTTTATCTGTATCTGCTAATGTATTGAAGGATGTAGCTTGCATATCACCCTCACCCTTGTTTCTGCAAATCCGTTCTCCCGCATAATGAGAGCGGCAATATTTTTTGAGTACGCCTGGTTTTCTGATTGCCGGTTGTTACAGCAGAATAGAACAGTTCACTATATCAGCAGTTGTTACAGCAAATGGTCTCAGTTGTTACAGCAAGTGGTTTAATGGTTGCTCGATGTGACTAAGGCCAGCTTTCCGTTATCAGTCTCTTTCAACTGTTAGGAAGTTGTTGGGCATGATTGATCAATGGTTCAATACTTTTTTTGGTAATGAATAGTTCAATACTTCAAATCTGTCGAATTTGTCCCATTGGGCTTAGTTTGGAAAGAGTAATATGTAGAGTGCAAAGCCTTATATTTTGTATTATTTTGCATGTATTTGTACTGTACATCTCAAAAGCGGCAAAATTTAGTATTTTTTTTAAAAAAAAAAAGGTTATGGTTTTCTCATTTACCCAAAATTTCCCTTTTCTTGAAGCACAGATTAGCATACTGTCTTATAGTGCTATTAATTTGGTGATATTTTCGCGTTAGATATGTGGGAATCTTCTTTTGGGTGGTTCCCTTTCTATCAATGTAAAGGGGTGTGGTGGCCTATAAGCAAGCATTACATTGCTTTTTGTTCAAGAGCAGAAAATGAGTCTTTGATCGTCAGTGTAATTGTCTCAGATAGAAAAAGAGTATTGGGTTGAATATTTTGCCTTCATCTTTTGTTACTGGTAGGTAGTATTGACATGGAAATGGAGAGAAAAGGTAGATGCAATGCAGGTAAGCTGCGAATTGATGAGATTAAGCAACCCCACCCCCACAGCACCATTTTTCAGGTCAAAAAAGGGTAATTGACTTCTAGAAGACTCGGAAACTAGGAAGCAGCACTGTGAGCAATATGTTGATTGGAAGATTTCATGAGTGACATGAGGTTAGACTTTAGAGAGGAGGAAATAGAGCAGGGCTATTACAATAGCTTACTTAATGGATATGCACATCTTTTTTAACTTTGGGAGTATTTGTGATCGAGTTGTTGAGATTCAAAGATGGTATCGGTATGGTATATACTCCATTGGTCTGTCTATACAGGAGTTAATGGCGGATGTTTTAGTTTTAACACCAGAATTAAAGATTCCCTTGGGCCAATTTAATTTTACAGCACAAGATAAAAATAAATTATAGTAAAAATGGGGGAGGGACGAGGGAGACCCCAAAGTGTAAAACATCTTTAGCGCGCAAATGACAAACAATAAGAAGCTAATAAACTAAAACGTCCCATACTTGAGATGGCATAATAAAGAAACGAAACGGCCCTGAAAGAAAAACAACTAGTAGAATAAATAAATTTCTTAATTTCATGCGTACATGTGATGTGGTCAAGTCAAGTCTGATTTGGAGTGGGAGGGCAGAAGGTAATAAGATAACGAGGCGCCCTGCATTTGTGAAGGCTGGTTGAATCGTCGAAGGCAAAGGTGTAGGCCCGTGGGCAGATGGCCTTAAAGACATGAGCGAAGATGGTGGGCTTGCAAGCATTTGGATTGGCATAATCCCCAGTGCAACAGTACTTGGCCGATCTCATCGCCACGCAAGCGCTCTTGCATCCCACAATCCTGTCTCCTCGCTTCACTTCCAACGCCGACGGGCAGCACACATTCAAATCAGCCTCACACGCCGCAATGCCGCACCCAATGCCCCCACCCCCTACTGGAACCATTGACACTGGAAGGTTGAATCCATCCACCAAACTCACGTCATAGTAGTGTAGGGGCGAACTGGAAGTTCCGAGCGTCATCTCCACAACTGTTGCCGGAGGCACTCCACCTATTCCCCTGCAATTCACAAGGCCTCCGCAGTCTCCCGTCTCGCACGACCCTTTGCCGTTTTCGTCAAAGCAACACCCCTGCCTACCCCATATCCTCCCTGACCACTTATCAGGTACGTCGACTACAGACTCCTCGCCACTGTTGAGATGGAAGCCACCGTCGTTGGGGGTTGGCTGGCCTATAGTACCAAGGATCCCGGGCCAAACGCTCTCATTGCAGTTATTTACAATTATGAGTTGAATCCCATCTGTAATCGAACACCAATATAAAAACAATGTCAGTTTGTTGCTAATACTTAATATCGATCAAAGAGAGAGAGAGAGAGAGAGAATGAAAGAGAGACGGTACTTGCAAAGGAGAGGGAAATGGAAAGATAAAGAAGGAAGGAGAGGAGACGTGAGAGAGTCGGAGTCATTTAGTTCTCTCTCTGAAATCTGAATGTGGCGGAGTTGGTTCAAGTATTTATGGCTATATATGCGAGTAAATTAAAGATGAAAGAGAGGAGGGGAGAGAGTGGTAGAGAGCGGCGTTCTCTTTTGTTTCGTTTCGCCAGTCGCCACCATGAAATGTTTAGGCAACCGCAATGGCAATATTGTTACTTGCAATGCAAGTGGAACGGTTTATGAAGAGAAGAAGAGGAGCACTTCCCGGTCTAATCGGTGCTTTTATTTTCATTTACCTAATTTTATTATTTTTCCTTTTTCATCTTTTCCTCTCTCTCTCTCTCTTCACTTTTACACTGCAAAAAGAATATATTCCTTGCTTTAATTGGTGGGGCTTTCTTTCAGTTAACAATCTTCTTAATTTATTATGGGGAAACTTTCATTGACCTCCATTTATTAGACTAATATTAGCTTTAGGCTGCAAATTTCAACCTGTCTGGTGGGATATCACAAGCCAATGCTGCACCTTTTTACCATCTTGTTGTTAGGTTCCTTCCCTTTATACATGTGATCAACTAGATTGTTATTAAATCATTTAAGAAAAAAGGATTTGGGGTTTTACCATATAATAGAGACCTTGGATACCAAAATTGCTCTGCTAAACCCAGTTGCTTAAAAATCTGGAGACTGGGCAAAATCCAATCTCTGAAATTTTCTTGGTAAGGTGCTCTAGCCACTAGGTGATCACTGTACATAGAGAGAAGTGAGATAAGTCTTGAGATTATCGGTTAATCTAAGGAATTAGGTGGGAAAAATAAAAGAAAGAATGAAAAATGGTGACCACATCATACAAAACATCTTCATTTTATCAAAAGGGAAATCAAGGAAATTTAGAGTAATTCTTGAAACTGCTCATGCAACAGAAAGTGCATGTGCCATGTGGGTTAAACATCTAAGAGAAAAAGGTAGAAATCATGAATTAAAGAATACAATCATATGCGTCCCACTATATCATGCATCCTTGTAAGCATAAGATTGTCTCCCACTCCAATGCATATTTCATTCAGTTCATGCAAGGTTGTCCTAGACAAAGTTGAAAGTTTTCCTGCGCAAAATAAGTAGAAGTAATTACTAATTACAGTTCATCAAATATACTAATATATGATTTTTAGAAGGATGGCCTTAGAAGTTTAAACCCATATGTAAGTAGGTAATAATTAAGTAACAGAAACCATGATCTAGCGTCATTAAGGGCCTATTTGGTGTGTCTTTTCGTGCAGTCTTTCGGCTGTTTACAAGTAGGGTAGATCGATTTTTGGTTTATTCCCATTTAGTTCATGGAAGACCTAGCTGCCAAAAGCCGAAGCGCCAAAAAGACACGAAAAACCCATTTTGGGCTGATTTTGAGAAACTCCAAATAAAGCTTTTTGCATATTTTGCATTTTATTCTCACGCGGAAAGATATAGAAAGGTGCATGAAAATATGTGTATCTGTTAAACTAGTTTCGAGCTGCTTAGATCTTCATGCAAAAGCTCAATTTGTCTTTTGACTATTAGAACTAACAGAAGATCCTCCCAAAAATATCTGCCAAATTGCCCCTAAATCAACAAGGTAAACAAACAAAAACTGGATAGGATTATAACGAATGACTTAATTGGTCTAGGCGTAAGATAGCCCTCTCGCTCTTCTCCTTGTATAATAAATACCACCCATAAGCTGATCAATCAACTGGTGCCGAATTCAATAGTTCTTTGTGTTACAAGTGCATAATGAATTGAATAGTAGGAATTATATAGTATATACTTCTTTCAAAAAGAAGAGGTGCGTGCAGAATCGTAAGTCATTCCAAGTCCAACCTGATTTTTACTTTCTGCCAAAAGTGGTGAAAACACGAAGTTGAATAGGACATAACTGTTGGGAAATGGGGTCACTAAAACTTGAAGGAGAAGCTCTGAGGTGTGCTATTTTTAGAATGTTATTTGTCCCCATTCAGTTTTATTGAATTTACTATTGAGTTACAGGCAAATCCGTTCCCAAGATATAACAGAGCCTTGGGCAAGAATCAAGCATTTGCACATACACGCGGGTGCGAGTAAAGTGCAAACAAAGTGTGCCTTTAAAGCACCTCATTGCCCCGCACACACACACATGCGTTGCAGGGTAGCAAGCCTCCATACTCTCATCTCTTTATTTAAGGAGTGTAAGTCAACTCCTAATAAAAAACCCAAAACAAAACTTGTAATTTTCCAATGTGAGACAAGCTCAAAACTAGTTTTAGCAAGAGAAAGTTATTTTTCCAAACAAGTGTGCAGGTACAATTTCTCATTTAATTAACCAATTAAATCCATTGGATTTAATCTCTAATGAATCGTTTCAATTCTTCACCAAATAATCACTACAAACTTCTCTTCTATGACTAGCTTAGGCTATGTTTGGTTACAACTCTATTCCAAAGAACCACTACTTCAAGAATGAAATTCTTTTCTGAAGATTCAATGCGAGCCAAAAAAATTAACTCCAATCCTTTTCATGAATTCAAACTTAAAAAGTGATTCTTAAAATCTTAAAATTTATCAGAACAAGATTTCTACAAAACATTCCAAAGGCAGCTTAATTTAACTAAACCTCCGAGTTCTACCGTGGAGATACTTTTGGCTTGTGAAGTACGTAGTTGGTAAAGTGCAAAGGATCATAAATAAGAAAGTAACAGAAATTAATAAATTTTGCAGATTAATGTTTTGTTTGGTTTGATAGAAAATAAGAAGTAACAGAAATTTGAGAAAAAGTTAAAAAATTACAAAAATTCTTAAATAACTTTTTCTCAACTTTCTATTTCTCGTTTATTTTCTATCAACCCAAACACAGCCATAAGGTGTGATTGATTTGCATGTAAAATAAAATTAGGACCTTAAATGTTTTGGGTCGGGTTGGGAGATATTGGAACCTGGAGATCAATATAAAGGTGGATGGAGTTAGTTCTATATAACAATGTTTTAAAAACCAATGTGGAATCAGAACTGCTTGACCATCGGTTTATGAGTCAGCGGTTTGAATGGATGTCCCGTTTTAATTTAAAATTAAAAAACGGCCAAAATCATTGTCCACGTCAAACGGGTCAGCAGTTCAACTGTTACGGATAATGGGTTATTGATCAAGTCAAACGGTTTTGGAAAAAAAATGGATTAAATGTGAAACAGAATCGATTGCTTGGACGATTCTCGATCCAAATAGTTTGACCGTCCGGGTCAACTACGGTTTTGAGTCATCAGCTAGGGTTTATTTAAGGGTTTCTAGCATACAAAGTCAACTTTTGGGGCTTAATATCAATAAAAGTAATATATTTAAAAAAAATTAAAAATATGTTAACTTTTAAAAATAATATCAATAAAGGGTAAAAACATTGTTCATCTTCTTCTTCTTACCATTTGTTCACCAGAGCTTCCGTCCGCCACCACCCACCACCGCCGCCCGTTGCTTCCTCCGCCTTCGGCAACGTTGCCGGAGGTGGCCGGAGGCAGAGGTGGCGACGGCGGCACTGGTGGTCATTCCTCTGCTCGCTGTCGCCGCCACCTCTGTCTCCACCCATCTTCGACAACGTTGTCGGAGGCAAAGGTGGCGGTGTTGGACAGAGAAACCACTAGCGCCGCCGCTGCCACCTTTGCCTCCAGAAACCTCCAGCAATGTTGTCGGAGGCAGAAGCGAAGGTGGGCGGAGGCAGTGGCGGGTGATAGCGGACAGTGGTGGCGGGTAGTAGCGGGCGGCGGCAGACGGCGTCTCTAGAGAACAAATGGCAAGAAGAAGAAAATGAACAATGTTTTTGCCCTTTATTAATATTATTTTTAAAAAGTTAACTTGAAATTTTTTAAATATATTACTTTTATTAATATTAAACCTCAAAAGTTGCCCTTATATGCTATTACCCCTTTATTCTATTATGGGACAAATCAATGTCCTAACAATAAATACCCAACTCGTTTCTTAAGTGAGTTCTGGATTTTGGTTTGGGAACAAGCAACCTACAAGATACAAAGTGGGTGGAGTGGGGTGGGTGGCTGGGTCAGGCTGGCCAAGATTCCGTGCAAAAACAAATATGTACGGTTCAAACATTCCGTGTGACTGGTTCATAAATACAAGCTGGTTTAATTTTGTACTAATAACTTTTGTATTCCAACCAAATTAGTACAAAACTACAAATAGTCCTACCAAGATCGAAATCCACCTTTTTGCATTAACCAACTATGAATCCAAAATATTGATACAAATTTTGTATCAATGATTAGTATAAGCATGTCTTAAAAGTTGTAATAGTGTCATTACATACGTGTATTCACCAAACACTTGTAAAATTAAATTAGAGTACATTCATGCATGGTTTTCAAAACTGGACCGGAAAAACCGGGACCGATCAGGTGATCGGTTCTATTTTTCCCCAAAATCGGATTTTTGCCAAAAACTATTGATTTTGGTCAGCAAACCACTGATTTGGGTAGTCGTTCGAACCATTTGAATGATTTTGACCATTTTTTTGTTTTTTTTTTTTATTTTTTGTCAGAATGAACCGATTGTTCGGTTCGAACGATCAGACTATTCAACCCAGAAAGCGGACCCCTGACCGGTTCTAATGAATCAATTTTTTGGGCTAAGTACCTCGTCATTTGGTCTACTTCCAAGTGGCTGATGACTTAGAGGCCGAAGTGGAGAACTTTTGTTGGATGAGGACCTGGATGCCGAGCTGGGGACAGATTAGGTGCCGAGCTGACTGAGCCAAGCTGGGCAGGTTAGGTGCCAAATTGACTGGGCCGAGCTGACCAAAGTGCCAAGCTAACTGGTGGCGAGCTGGATTGATTGCTGAGCTTCGTAGTTCTTTAGAGACCTACAAGGAATCAATGTCAAAGGACCCGGGGTGGCTAACCCGACGAGGTCGCTCTGATGATTAAGTCAGTACTCTCATAGTAAACTGCGAGCTAAAAATCACAAAAGTATGAGAGCTAGAATATGCTTACTTGCCCCCTCATGTCATTGGGGTTGGTGCCTTTATATAGGCATTGTTTGGCGTGGGCTTCACGCACCATATCCGAGATTTCCGAGAGGTCGCCTAAGTGGTCCGAGATTCCCGGAGGCAACCGCCATGCATGTTGACCACCCTCCGGATCGTTCGGTACATGAGCCAACTTCCAAGGATCGTGGGAGTGTTGGGATATGCATGCCGAATTTGTCGGTGAGCACGTCTCACAGGTCGCTAGGTCGGCGCCTGTGCTAGGTCGCCAGTTGGGACACCATCATCTTGGCTAAGACAAGTTGTTGCCTAAATGATTCTGGATGTCACCTAATTGTTCTGATATACCACATATCACAATGTCATTGGAGGGCCAAATCCGCCCTCATCAGGTTAGTTATCTGGATAAGTTTTAAAAACCTTGCATTCATGTACCGAATGAGCATTTAAACAACAAATAAATGCAGCCTAAAATTAGTTTGTTTCACGGTATCTCGGTGAATTGGCCAACCGGATAATTGACCCGTTTACCCACATTTGGCTCTAGTTATTAGGTCCCCAAAGTTCCAAGTGCATTGTTTACCTGAAAATGTTTTACAAATGATCGGATTCAGTCCCCACAATACCATATTTACATTGTGTTTACAGTATTTTACAGCCGTGTATTAGAAATATGTCCGTAATTGAATATATTTTTCATGGGAAGATATTCCTAAAACAAGGCTGCAAAAGTCTATGAGAACCGTGTAAACATAATCTTATGAGGATCAAATCCAATTTCTCAAAAGGGTAGAATAAAATAATAGGACTAAAGTTCTATTTGGTTCATGGGAATAGGGGTCAAGAATCATAATCAAAATGGGCCATCTGAAATGGCATTCCCCCATTTGAGGAAATGGCCATTCTCTACCCCTCCCTTGGAATGAAATCAGAAATCTTATTCTTTTTTATTCCAATTCTCATTTTCATTCCTGAATTAAAGAGACTATGAGAATAAATCATTCCGATTCTGATTTGGACTGCAAACCAAACGGAACCTAAAATTTTAATTTACATAAACGCACAACTCAAAAGATTGTGAATAAGGTAAATATTACACCTTAGTCGGGCTTAACGAACGCGAACAACAGAATGCAGCCCACCCATTAGATTCAGTATCAGGGTTTGGGAGTGTGTGCCCCACTTATAAATTAAATTAGCAGGGATGCACGGGAAAATCTAAAAGATTTAATAATTTTATTTTTTATTTAATGTTGATTTATAAAATTAATTATTGTTGATTGAATATAAACAAATGTTTTTTAATAAATTTAGTTTTATTAATAATTTGTAGTAATTTTAATAATTTTTTTTCTTTTTATTATTTTTAAATGAAATTTTGATTAACTTTAAATAAATAATAATAATTATAAAAGCTAACATTTTTATTAATTCCACTAGTAATTAACAATTATATAGGAATGACAACGGGGTGGGTTCAGGGCAGGGCACCCCATCCCTTTCCCTGCCCCATAGTCACGACACTTTACTCCATCCTCGCCCCGTCCCCAGTGTCACGTGGGTTCAGGGCAAGATAACCACTCAATGTCGGGCGAGTTTAGGGGCAAGGCACCCCACTCCTCATCAAAGATGGAGAATCCTCGAATTTCCCTATCTCGTCCCCAGTATTGGGCGGGTTCAAGTTGAGGTGTAAATTGGGTTGTGTTGGGTCGGCACGACACGAACTGCATGTGGCCCGCTCAAAGTGCGAGTCGTGTCATGCTGGCCCACGAGGCATCCCGGGCCATGCCTCCCTCCTCTAGGATAATTTGGAGGGTCGGTTTGGCACGGCCTACGGCCCGTGCCGTGCCGTGGTTTGGGCTGGTCCATGGATTGGGCCTTGGGCCAGGCCATGCCGCACACCAAGCCAAGCTCAAGGCAAGGAACCCACTCCCCGTCCAAGGTATTTAAAATTGGATCGGATAGGGAACCATTATGGGGTCGAACGGTCCGACTGTTTGGTCCGAACGGGTGACTTGCTTTGACAAAAAAAAATAGAAAAACAAAACAAGGACAAAAATTGTTGTCCAGGTTGATGGTTCGACCGCCTAGGTCAACAGTTCGCTAACCAAGTAAACAATTTTTGGACAAAAAGCGGTTTTGAGATGAAACAGTGTCCGATTCCCAATTTTTTTGGTATAATCATCTGGTTTGATCTAGTTTTGAAAATACTGTCCCCGTCAACCCAATATTCAATTTGATGATATAAATGATCAAAATGATATATTGAGTATCAACCACATGGTAAATTTCTATTATTGTTGATTGAAAGATTTAATAAATTTCCATTCAGTCAAACCTCAATCCCCATCCCCGACCCTGACCTCGATCAGGGATTCCTATTAATCCTCGTCC